AGTCAAGCTTCTGGCGCTGGCGCTGGCATTGCCACCCAGGACACCCTTGCGGCATTCCTGGCCAACCTGCAGACCTTAAACAGCAGGTTAAGCAGGGTGGAAAGTGCCATAGCCTCCCCAGGTAACCTTCCTGTTTCTATAGCCCCAATCCCGGCTGTACCTATGGCACCAACACCCGTCCCTACACTTCCCCCTCCAGCTCCTGCTCCAGTCATGTCGCCTTTCGTGTCACCAGCTCACTCCGTCCCAGACTCCATTAGGAAGGAAATCCTAGATGGGAAGGATGTGTGTCTGGTGTCATTACTTATTGCCTCCCAAGACGTACTGGAGAACAGGGCTTATAATTTTGGCGATATCTCGGTGGTTCTTAAAACCAGAGACCCAAGGCTCAACAAAAAGTTGTCAATTCCCAATTTCGTGTTGGCCTTCGGGATATACCGGGATGTCATCTGCTCGGTATATCCCCACAGGAGAGAGGAACTGGACCTCTATCTCCATAAAGTGGTGGATTTGGGCGTTAAGTACGGGGGCTCATCTTTTTACGATTATCATAAATCGATATCAGCGAAAGTGGCGACCCATCTGAAACAGTTTAATGTAAGAATTAACTGGTGTCAGATGGATACAGAACTATTCTGTCGCCACTTCGCTGGTCTGAGGCCCCCGTCTTGCGCCATATGCAATTCCTCAACCCACTTGGCTGATTTGTGCCCTTCTATGGCTGACCCACCCACCCCCACTCCCACCCCTCAATCCTCTTCCACTCCTCACCCTAAACAGGAAGGCGGACAGAGGGATAAACTAGGGAGGCCCATCTCCTTTTTGGGGAAGGCGCAGGTGTGCAACAACTTCAATGCAGGTTCCTGCAGCTTCAGCGCTTGTAGATTGTTGCACATCTGCTCCATCTGTTTCAGGGCACACACTAAGACCATGTGTCCGGCCAGGTTGTCCCCTAACAAATGACTAACCGACGTTAATATCGACAACCTGGCCTTTTACCTTAAAGATCACCCAAGTAAACATCTGGTGGAGTATCTAATAACAGGGTTTACCCAGGGTTTTCACACGGGTCGTGGCCATCCCCTCAGGGATACTGGAATGCCCTAATCTCCTATCAGCCTGTCTAGACCCGGAGGCCACGGACGTTCTCCTCTCCACAGAAATAACTCAAGGGTTCATGATCGGCCCCTTCACCTCCTCACCGTTTTCCTCCTGGCGCACTAACCCTATCGGTATAGCTGTACACAAATATTCAAATAAAAAACGTATGATTATTGATTTATCGGCACCGCACTCCTCTTTTGTTCCTAGCATCAACACACTCATCCCCGCAGACGAATTCTCACTACAATACGTTAAAATAGACAACGCCATACAATCCATCATATCAACTGGCAGCAACGCTTGGCTTAGCAAAACAGACATTACCAACGCTTTCAAACTACTGCCCATACACCCATCACTTTGGCACTTGCACGGTGTTAAATGGCGAAACAGGTACTATTTTTCCACGTGCCTCACTTTCGGTTCCAGAAGCAGCCCCAAACTCTTTGATATTTTCGCGGAAACGCTATGTTGGCTGCTTCTGAACATTATTAGGTGTCACGCCGTCATTCACTACTTGGATGACTTCCTCATCATAGAACCTAGCACACGCACATCCACCGATATCCGCAGCACCTCTGCACTTTTCTCCACCCTCGGGGTACCTTTGTCTCCCGCTAAAACAATTGGCCCCACCACTAAACTCACTTTCTTGGGCATAGAGCTAGACTCTGCTACCTTCCGCGCCAGCCTCATCCGCCTGAGAGGGGAAATAGACATGTTCCTGCGGAGCGATGTATGCACCAGGAAAGAACTTCAGTCCTTATTGGGGTCCCTGAATTTCGCAATGCGCATCGTTCCGCAGGGCAGATCTTTTGTGTCATGCTTCATGGGGTACCGGACACCTGCCCAATTGCGTTGGACCAGCACGCCAAAGCTGACCTAATCATGTGGGGGCACTTTTTGTCCCTATGGAACGGTATCTCCATGTTTATTCCCCCCCTCTCAGACTCCTCTCCCTGCATTTACACTGACGCTGCAGCCAACACGGGTTTTGCAGCTATATTTGGTAATCACTGGTTTAGGGGTCACTGGCCAGCTGAGACGGATGCCTTGCCGGGGTTTAGAGAAACTTCAGCTCTATTTGAGATTTACCCCATCGTGGCAGCCGCACACACTTGGGGTCACCTCTGGTCCGGCAAGGCAGTAAAGTGTTATTCCGACAGCTCGTCAGCTTGCGATATCATCAAGAAAGGGCGCTCATCCTCTCTTACCATTATGCGGCTGATTCGCAAGCTGACCTGGTTGGCAGCAACCGTCCAGTTCCACCTAATTTGCCTTCACATCCCGGGTATTCACAACACGGCTGCTGACGCTCTGTCTCGATCTCAATTTCAGGTATTTTTCCAGGCACTCCCGTCAACCCACCACCAACCATCCAGAACACCGAATTTTCACGAGCTAATCTTGGATTAAATACACTTACGCACCAAGCACTGTCACCAAACACTACTATCACCTACAGTAGGGCACTCACCATTTTCAACAAATTTACTGACGAATTCGGATTACAAGGTGATTTCTCAACCCAAACTATGGTGGCTTTTCCCTCTTTTTGCCATTTACATTTAAAACTTTCCCACAACACCATTAAATTATACCTCACAGGGGTGCAGCACCACAGCCTCACAAATTTCCCTAACACCCCCTTTTTATCATCATACCCCATAAAGAAAATCTTAAAGGGAATCTCTAAAGTATCAGTTCCACCTATCACCACCAGACTACCTATAGATGGGCCTATCTTTAGATTACTGAGCAACCTCCTCGATGAATCCCCTTTTGATCCCAACACTAACCTGGTGATCAAATCTGCAATCTATTTGGCTTTTTATGGGTTCCTAAAACCTAGGGAATTTACTGTAGTTTGTCAAGGGGATACCACTCACAGCCTCAAAATCTCACAACTCACAAAACTAGACGACTACTACATTCTCACAATCCCTTCTACCAAAACAAATCAGTCCCTACACCCCACTATCATTCCTCTCTTTCCTACAGACAATGCTTGGTGTCCAGTTAAGACACTAGACATATTACGGTCAGCTTATAGCACACACCTACCAGACTCACCACTATTACAACTACAAGGGCACCCACTCACTACAGCAAAATTCACCACACATACGTTAGAACCTTACTGGAAAAATTGGGTTACAACCCAACTTCATTCTCCGGGCATTCCTTTCGTATAGGAGCCGCTTCATCAGCTTCTAGTACTAACACACCGGTCCACATCATAAAGAGACTGGGCTGCTGGAAGTCCTCTATATACAATACGTATATTCCACGGCCAGAAAGAGAACTTCGCCAAGCCTTCAGGAATTTAGTTATGTAATCCAATGCAATAAAGTGTGTTTTTTCGAACTTCTCTTTGCCCTCTTTTATTTACAGGCACACTCGGACGTTGGTTTCGGCACACCACAACCAACTTTTATCTCGGTCATTATACATTACACATTAAATTCCGAGCACAAGTAGAAAGGCCATTAGGCCTGAATTTGTGGGAGGAGTAAGTCCCCTACTTAAACACCCAGCCCCTACTCACCTCTGACATTCGAGTTCAAGTGTTCCCCACCCACCAGCACCCTTAGAACATACAATTCTCCTTGGTGGGCCCTCTTATTTACAGGCCCACTCGGACGTTGGTTTCGGCACACCACAACCAACTTTTATCTCGGACATTATCCATTACACATTAAATTCCGAGCACAAATATAGTATATACACACACACTTCCACTAATGAGACAGAAGCAAATAAAGTGGAGGATAGTATAACAAACATATCAACGTGACTGACACGGTTTAATTTTCAGGCCCACATTTGTCTCACAGAGCTGACACTCAACAAATGTAAATGGTTACTCCAACCACCATGGCCACTCCCACTCCAGAAATGGTCTGTAGAACGGCTGTTATCAGCACGCACTGCCCTCTAGTGATGGAAGTGCGTCTTATGTTCTGTTTTAAATTGGTTCGGGGGGGTGTAATTCCCTTATGAGATAGGTCCATATTGATCTTAATTAGCACATTAGGAACATGGTTGAAATAACCTTTTTAGGCAGCTGTGACGATGTCAAATACTCACAGGTTTATTCACTAAAGTGAGAATTCAAAGTAAATTTCAAACTTAAGGGCAAAATAGCTTAACTGGAAAAAATCTGTAAGTCAAGTATGCTTCCAGCTTGGCTACTTTAGCCTTACATTTGAAAATCACTTTAGTAAATAATCCTGCCAACCAATACAGACCACGCTATCTCCATCTCAGTCATTTTTGTTGTACACAGCACCGACTAGATCCCCTTTCCCTGTCTCTTTTTAACTCTACAACTTGCAAAGCAAAAAATTATTAATACTACTGTGAAATCTTTTAAATGAGGCTGGTACTGGGGTCCAGGGAAACTATTTCAAGTATTCATAACCTGTAAATATTTTTTTCCTTGCGTGAACCTTCTGATGCTTAATAAAAATACACCATCTAATAAAGCATTTCTCACAATAAGAACACGAGAATGGTTTCTCTCCTGTGTGAATCCTCATGAACAATAAGATCATGCTTTTGGTTAAAACAATTCTCGGATTTGCTGCATTGAAATGGTTTTTCTCCTGTGTGAATCCTCTGACGTGTAAGAAGATTGTACTTGAAGCTAAAGCCTTTGCCACAAGCATTGCATTTATATTGATTTTCTCCCGTGTGGTTTACTTGATGTGAAGCAAGTTATTTCACCAGGAGAAACCTTTTCCCACATTCTGGGCACTTAAACACTTTATCCCCTGTATGAATTTTTGATGCAAAATAAGATTGACTTTCAGGATGAAGGATTTTTCACATTCAGTGCATATAAATGGCTTTCCCCCCCATGTGAACCCTTTGATGTTTACTAAGACTATTCTTTAGGCGGAAACATTTCCCACATTCAGGGCATTTGAAGGGCATTCGGAAGGAATTTCTCCAGTGTGAATCATTTGATGACTGATAAGACTGGATTTTGTCATAAAGAATTTTCCACAATACGAGCATAGGAATGCCTGTTTTTCAGTGTGCTTCCTCTCGTGGACAATAAGATTCTGCTTTCGCGTAAAAGATTTTTCACATATAGGGCATGTAAATGGTTTTTCTCCTGTGTGCATCATTTGATGCCTAATAAGATTGCGTTTTTGGTTAATAACTTTTCCACATTTAGAACATGAGAATGTCTGTTTTCTAGTGTGTGTAAGTCTTTTCTTTGATTTGGCAAGTGCCAGGTATTTTTCCCCATTCTCCATTTTATTTACAACTTCATCTTCAGTTCCAGAATTGGACAAAGTGACATGGCTGTGAAATTCCTCAGGTATAGATTTATCTATTAGAAGAAAATACACAATAATAGCAACTAAACAAACATTAGAGAACAATAAGCGCAACTAAATCAAAGCCCTGAATTCATATACATTTTGGACCCTTCTTATTTGGCATTATAAACACAGATCTTTGTGATTTTATTTCCTCTTACCCGATGAGCTGAGAGTCTGGTGATTCTCCATCATTACGTCCTTGTAGAGATGCTCGTGTCCTTCTAAATACTCCCACTCCTCCATGGAGAAATAGACAGCGACATCCTCACACCTTATAGGAACCTGACACACACAATGATACAGTCACCATCCAGACACATCCCTTGGTTTTACTCTATAATGTCCCATTCCCAGCAGCCTCACCTCTCCAGTCAGCAGTTGGGTGATCTGATTGGTCAGTTCCAGGATCTTCTGGTCAGTGTTACCCTCATATGTCTGAGAGTGATGTGGAGGCACTGAGCTAGCGATATCAGTGCTGCAGGACCCTGATGACACCATAGCACTATTTCTTTGTGTAACAGACTGACAAAGCTTATTCACAACCATACAATCCTAAATGGTAAGAGCAACACAAATGCAGACATTCAGATCCTCGTAGATTGTATAAATATATAAATGCCAATAAGAAATAAATAAAAAGTATTATTGCTCACTGAATTCGTATTCACCGCCACTGTTTTTATATCAATGTTACCTTTCTTATATCCAAATTAAAATTGATTGCATCCAAGTATCCTTATTGATCAAAACTCCTTCAATGGCGACTATTTCTGTCTGTGACTGTTTTCACCATTCTAAAAAAGTCTCCCTTATAAAATGACATTCATATTTTTTAGTACCAGTGCAAAGTCTCAGACTGAGACATTACCCAGAATCCCTTACCTCTCCGGTCAGCAGGTAGATGATCTCCATGGTGACATTACCCAGAACCCCTCACCTATCCGGTCAGCAGGTAGATGATCTTCATAATGACATTACCCAGAATCCCTCACCTCTCCAGTCAGCAGGTAGATGGTCTCCATGGCGACATTACCCAGAATCCCTCACCTCTTTAGTCAGCAGGTAGATGATCTCCATACTGACATTACCCAGAATCCCTCACCTCTCCAGTCAGCAGGTAGATGATCTCCATACTGACATTACCCAGAATCCCTCACCTCTCCAGTCAGCAGGTAGATGATCTCCATAATGACATTACCCAGAATCCCTCACCTCTCCAGCCAGCAGGTAGATGATCTCCATAATGACATTACCCAGAATCCCTCACCTCTCCAGTCAGCAGGTAGATGATCTCCATAATGACATTACCCAGAATCCCTCACCTCTCCAGCCAGCAGGTAGATGATCTCCATACTGACATTACCCAGAATCCCTCACCTCTCCAGTCAGCAGGTAGATGATCTCCATAATGACATCACCCAGAATCCCTCACCTCTCCAGCCAGCAGGTAGATGATCTCCATAATGACATTACCCAGAATCCCTCACCTCTCCAGCCAGCAGGTAGATGATCTCCATAATGACATTACCCAGAATCCCTCACCTCTCCAGTCAGCAGGTAGATGATCTCCATAATGACATTACCCAGAATCCCTCACCTCTCCAGTCAGCAGGTAGATGATCTCCATAATGACATTACCCAGAATCCCTCACCTCTCCAGTCAGCAGGTAGATGATCTCCATACTGACATTACCCAGAATCCCTCACCTCTCCAGTCAGCAGGTAGATGATCTCCATACTGACATTACCCAGAATCCCTCACCTCTCCAGTCAGCAGGTAGATGATCTCCATACTGACATTACCCAGAATCCCTCACCTCTCCAGCCAGCAGGTAGATGATCTCCCATTACCCAGAATCCCTCACCTCTCCATAATGACATTACCCAGAATCCCTCACCTCTCCAGTCAGCAGGTAGATGATCTCCATAATGACATTACCCAGAATCCCTCACCTCTCCAGTCAGCAGGTAGATGATCTCCATAATGACATTACCCAGAATCCCTCACCTCTCCAGCCAGCAGGTAGATGATCTCCATGGTGACATTACCCAGAATCCCTCACCTCTCCAGTCAGCAGGTAGATGATCTCCATAATGACATTACCCAGAATCCCTCACCTCTCCAGCCAGCAGGTAGATGATCTCCATACTGACATTACCCAGAATCCCTCACCTCTCCAGCCAGCAGGTAGATGATCTCCATGGTGACATTACCCAGAATCCCTCACCTCTCCAGTCAGCAGGTAGATGATCTCCATACTGACATTACCCAGAATCCCTCACCTCTCCAGCCAGCAGGTAGATGATCTCCATACTGACATTACCCAGAATCCCTCACCTCTCCAGTCAGCAGGTAGATGATCTCCAGGGTGAGATCCAAGATTCTCTCAGCCATCTCATTCCTGTCCATGTTCATTCTCATATTTAGTCACATACTCTCATAATAGACTTTGGTTCTTGTATAGGAGATTTAACAGCCACATCAGTCTGAAATTAGAGCATGATATTATGTTTCAATTAAAAGGGACACTATAATCACCAATACAACTTTAACTTAATTAAGCAGTTTTGGTGTATAGATTATGCCTTTTATGTTTCACTTCTCAATTCACTGCCATTTAGGAGTTAAATCACTTTTGTTTCGGTTTATGCAGCCCTAGCCACACCTCCCCTGGCTGTGACTGGCAAGTTCTGTATGAAAACAAAATGTACAGAAAAAAAAGACAAGTGTAGGCACTCGCTATAATATGAACAGGCAGCAGTAAAATCTACAAGGATTCACAAACCTTGCGTAAGATACAGTAATGTGACAAAAGAACAAGTGATAAACTGTGCCAAACAGAACAAAAAAAAATAAAAAATTCACACAGGTTGCATGGTTACATAGCTGAAAAGAGACTTGCGTCCATCAAGTTCAGCCTTCCTCACATTTGTTTTTTGCTGTTGATCCAAAAGAAGGCAAAATAACCCAGTTTGAAGCACTTCCAATTCTGCAACAAACTAGGAAAAAAATTCCTTCTTGACCACAGAATGGCAGTCAGATTTATCCTTGGATCAAGCAGTTATTACCCTACATTGAAAGATTATATCCTTGAATCTTCTGTTTTTTCAAGTATGCATCTAGTTGCTGTTTGACCATCTGTATGGACTCTGATAAAACCACTTCTTCAGGCAGAGAATTCCACATCCTTATTGTTCTTACAGTAAAAAAAACCTTTCCTTTGCATTAGACGAAATCTTCTTTCTTCCAGTCTAAACGCATGGGCTTGTGTCCTATGTAAAGTCTGGTTTGTGAATAGATTTCCACACAATGGTTAGTATTGGCCCCGAATATATTTGTATAATGTTATCATATCCCCTCTCAGGCGATGTTTTTCTAAACTAAAGAGGTTTACATTTCTTAACCTTTTTTCAAAGCTGATATGTTCCATTCTTTTTATTAATTTTGCAGCCTGCCTCCACACTTTTTCGAGTGCCATAATATCCTTCTTTAGAACAGGTACTCAAAATTGCACAGCATATTCAATATGTGGTCTTACCAGTGATTTATAAAGAGGCAAAATTATATCCTCATCCTGCGAATGAATGCCCTTTTTCATGCATGACAATACCTTACTGGCCTTGGCCACTGCTGATTGACATTGTTGCATAGTTTGTTGTCTATAACAATTCCCAAATCCTTTTCGTGTGTTGTTATCCCTAATTCGCTTCCATTAAGGGTATACGTTGCTTGTGTATTCTTTACGCCGTCTGCCATTTGAGTGCCCAGCCCCCCAGTCTATCTAAATCCCTCTGCAGCAAAGTGATATC